CCTCACTGATAAGAGAAAAGCTTAAGTTTAAAATTTGAGCTTTCTGAACCCAGGTGTTTCTCTCTCTACGAGCGTCTGCAGTGCCGGATGAAGAAAAACGAGAAGAAAATACAGCTTTTTTCGCAGATTTTTGCACTTTTCGAATGCTTATATTGCAGCAACTGCTTTATACAAAATCTTGAAATTTTGCACACTACCTAAGAAAATAATTTTCTTTCGGACGAGACGAGATATTCGAGATCACCATAGGTGTTTGGGGCGGAAAAATCGACCCCTCAAAAATAGAAAACTCTAATTCCTGTATATGTTGTCAGTTAGTGACTTTTTTAGTAGCCGTCAGGGTCACTACCGTGACTCCTGATATAAGATACTAGATTATTGGATCAAATTTTATCCGTTATTATTAAATACAGAACGTCCTCAATATATGTCATACTTAAGTTCCTAAAATCCGTCGTAAACGAAATGGTGTACATCGAATATCAATTTTTAGCCGAAATAGTATATTATGTGACATTGCCGACCAACTAAAAACAATTTATGTGCAAGTGTCATAACAAGATGACGGCCAAATGTTTGAGCGATTAATAATACATTCATGTACCTATTCTAATTATAATGTTGTTTGAAATTTAAGTTAATCGACAGAAATTACTAATTTATTACATACATTTACAAAAATAATTAATAAAACAAAACTAATTCTTGTAATATTTCCTTATTAAGTATTATTTTCAATTGAGGCAATTTAACACGATTGCTCATTCTTAAAGTATAAAACTTAACAACACGCAATACTCAAATCTACAGCTTAAAGTCAAGAAAAATGCTTTAATTAGGAAAACGTTGACAGGTTTATTTAATGGTTATGTTGATATCTAGTATTTAAATATGCTTAGATGTTCTTTGAATGTTGTGAAATGGATGTTGAAATGTACTTAAAATGTTGCTATTTAATTACAAATTGTTTAGGACTATTTTACATTTGAAAAATGCTGGCAAAGGTTCTTGCTCGACTTTCCCGGTCACCCGAACAGAAGGTTAAAGGAATCATTAGGATGTCCCATCATTTTCAATTATACTAGGATATAACATCTAAGTACTGTAATAACAAAAGCTTAAAAGGAGTAATTTTATTAAATTACTAGCTTACCCGTCGCGCATTGCTGCGATCTCAGAAGAAAGGAAATTCAAGCAAACTCGTTATGATAAAATTCAATTTACATTTCATCATTTTTATTGAAACTTATTATTATTATTCATTTTCATCGGGAAAACATTTCAAAGTGTCGTTTCAATTCTATTTATTTATTGGAGTGTTTGTGGATACACGATATTTTTTGTTTTTCCGTCTGGTGCGTACACGAATAAATCGGAAGGTTTTCCGACGCGTGAGCCGGCCACATACAGTTGTCCATGCGAGAAGCACGGATTCTCCAAATTTAGCCCACACACTCGCAGCGATTGTCAGAAGTGCGATATTCCCCATTTTTATATATATATTTTTAAATCCTTTATAATTTTAATTATTTAATTTCTCCTTCCTCTCTTCCTTGGCATGTTGTGAAATTTCTGATAGTTGGATAATAAACCGTTTTATTGTAATTTGTCTTTTTAAATTATTTTGAGTCGATATTAAAATTTGGAAAAGGGGGATCCCTAGATCGGTAAAATAGGCGAATTTCCTTCTACAACTTCGGTTGTTGTTCGGGATACAGTTAAGGTTTTAACAAAGTTCGAGCGAATACATAATTAGCAAAAAAAAGTTGAAATAAAGTGATTAAACAAAAATTATTACAAATATCGTAAATAACAGTTCACAAATGCATATATAGAGATATTTTTTGAAGGGGGGAAATGGTCTTCACAATTTGAAATCGATCGAACACACTGTGCTCGAATGCTCGTGTAAACGCGCGCCATCTATCGTAGGATAAATGTACTTCGCGGGAGTGTATTAAAAAATTTAAAAAACTTTCCAAAGTTTTATGGCAATCGTACTATGCCACAAACCTTCGCCAGAGTATATTAAACAACTTCCCAAAGTTTCATGGCTATTGGATAAACGGTGTGGTAATGCGTGAAGGACGAACAGACAGACATACATTCATTTTTATATATATAGATGATAAAAATCTCCATTTAAAACATTTTTAAGTCTTAAAAAACACTATGAACTAGTTCAAAATTTCAAAAAATTGTGTGGTGCCATCTGTTATGAGCTGTCGTTAAAAATGACTTTTACATTATTAAACATTATTAATTATTACAAAAAGGCAAAAAAGGCTTAATTTTGAAGGTAGAAATTTTTTAAAAAATATTGTAAATGCTGATAACAAGTAAAATTTTCATAAAGTCTCACTCGACTCGAGATACGAATCCCTCTATTGCCCAATTTCCTTGAACCCATTTTCCAAAATTGGCTATCATCAATGCTCTTATATACAAATCACCGTGCCAAGTATCGTTTCTTAATCTTTATTTCACCCTGAGATATTAAACGAAACTCACAGACATTTATAGAATTCGCCCTTTTTTACTGTTTTGTATTCAGGGGATCTGAAAACTTCGAGATTTGCAAAAAAAAAAAAAAAAAAAAAAAACTAANAACAGATGAAAGATAAACCGAATATTTACTTGTATAAATCTTGATACTTTTAATTGCAATGACTTCTTGGGGCTTCCTGTAGGATGATTTAGTAAATAAATAAATAAATAAATTTAAATCCGATGCTCCTTACTTCTCATTCCAGACAAGAGCTTTACTTATTATAAGAATAGTGTGAGTTAAGAGGTTGAAATATATTTTGTGTTCTGTGATATAAATAATAATAAAAGAATAGCCTTAACAAAAACAAGTGATATATATTCATTTTACTTTTTCTTCTGTCAAAAAATAAAGACAATTGGAACATAAAAGACTTTCTGATCAATTCCATGCAGTTATAGCTGCATTATATTTCTATTCGCAGTAATTCTATTGTTTCTTATTTATAGAAATCTATTATTATATAGAAATTATTTATTGTGTATTACCTTAAAGGGAATAAAGTCTGTATTTATTATTGTTATGTTTCAACAGAAGAATGGACAACGTCCAGGAAAGTTACAAACCATACTACTAGACAGGTGATTTTATTTCTGATATAACTGTTATTTTTTTAAGTTCATTTTTGATCCGAATCAAACAGTTTATAAAACATTGGATTAGTTTCTTTTTAAATTATGATAATATCCATAGGTTGAGACGAGAGTAAAGAGACAAATTATTTTGGTGGTATAATCTTACATTAAACTTCTTGTGGTTTTAAAGTTATTTTAAACAGAATTTCTCAGCAATAATTAAAACAATGATTATCGAGAAATAAAAAAAAGCAAATTAATAATTAAACTGAAATTAACTATTATTAAAGTTATTAAAATTACTTATGAAATTCCATATTTATCGCTATGTATTGGAACTTTTGAAGAAGATATGCATCAGTTAATTGTCTGTTTAATTATCGGTACATAATGAGTCATACAATGAGTTGTTTCTAATCATTTTAATCGAAGAAATGTTTTATGTTTATAGTTCTAATTATAAGTAATCGTGACATTAATTGTCCGTTTCGTGAAACTCTGAGTCGACACGGCATTTTCTTTTGAAATCGCCGTCTCCAATTGTATTACTGTGCTTGGCTTCTGAGAGTATATTCAAATTTGAAATTGTTATATCACCCAAATGACACGATATTATTTGTTGACATAACACATTTCTCTATGGAATTTCAAATTTTAATTTCTATAAATCTACGTGTGTGTCCTGTATCCGTATACAGGATACACATGTAGATTTATAGAATTCGTTAACAATACTCCATAAAATATTACTGACCTTCTATTTAATATTTACTATTTCCTTTTCTATGTTTTCAATAATTGTTATTTAAAAAAATTATATACATATATAGAAAAAAGTTTATCGTTTCTTTCTATATCTAATAATTAACACATTAGTTTTAAATATATATATATACTATATAAAAAAAATTAAAGTCATTAAAAGTAGAAAAAATAGTAATAAATTATGAACGGAAAATTAAAACAAAGAATTTGTTCATTATTATTAACATTTAGTAGCCTACAGCAAAATGTTACGCACCGCACACCTGATCTTAAAGGATTAATTTTCTTTACAGTCGTTAAAAATATTCACCATACTTCATCTACCTAAAGATATTCCCTGATACTTTTGAGCGTTATAAATAATAATGCCATTTAATGCAATATGTTACTTAATCTACAGGTATGTTCTGTAGATTAAATAAGTTAATTAGGGTTTAAATGTTGAATTATATTTAGGCTAATATAGTAATTTTACAGAGTGAAAAAACCAATTGTTAATTAAAAATATTATATATATATATATATATATAACGTTGATCAGAGCGACATCACACGAATAAAATTGGTACTACATCAGAGATATAATGCGTATCAGTCTGAAATACCGCTAGCTGCTAGCGAGTGAGTTTCCTTTCAATTGTCAATGAACAAATTTTATAAAAAGGTAAACATTTAATAACTTTTTCCTTATTTATATCTTTAAATTTCCGGCCTTTTCCATCTTATTTTTAATTAATAAGTTAAGTTTTATCGAATATATCATCACTTGTAAGTTTTCTATTTTGGAGACTAACATATTTCTAATTATTCTTAGGAAAAAAATTTTTTTTATAATATTAGCTTAAGTCGATTTCTTTTTATTTTGTTTTTAATGTGATCATTAATAATTAATTATACAATTTATTAATAATAAATAGAAATAGTAATATATAAGCCTACAGTATATATAATTTTTTATTAATAAGATATTAAACAACTCAATCTTAGTTTTGCTTTATATTTTTATTACATGTTACTTTATTAAAACCGATTTAAGTTTAACATAATGGATATTTTATGATTTTTATTGAATAAAAACTATATTTTTTAAAGATTTTAAACTAAACATTTTACAAATTTTATTGGCAAATTGGTAAGTTTTGATTTAAAAACATTTCGTTCTCTTCCTTTGCTCTTCTCTTGCGAAATTTTTGTGATATTTATAAATATTAAATATTTATCCGTTTTAGAGTATGCGTATCGTAACCTTGAAATCGGTCCGCCATTGTTACTAGCAGACCTTCTCAATTGGAGTATATAGGGAAGAATATACGCATGGTGACATCACAGTGGATGTCAATTTTTACCTTTTGCATAATTCGAATTGCGAAATATTTGTTACGCTTGGTGAATTGCGAAAAATTTTAAAGCAATGAGTCTACAATTTGTAAATAACAGACAAGCAACCTCTAAATGGGTCGAGTGGATCCCTACGGAGTGCATAATATCCGTTTCCATGTAAAAAATTCTCATTTTTTTAAAATAGGGCGAAGATATTTAGCCCTAACTAATAATTAATATATGAATTTCTCGAGTGATGTATTTCCTTCTTCGATAAGTTATCAGAAGAGGAAAAGTTAGCGAGGAAATGATCTTTCTCACCTTAATGCACTCATCAGTTCCGCCTGTTTGTCTGGGTTGTTGGCAATTGGGTCATAATGTACCTTTTTTAAGGAACAATTTCAAAACATTTCAAAAATTATTTTCTTTTACTCAGGTGTTGATGTCATGGATAGAGATTACGTGAGCAATAGTAGTAGAAGTCCTACAGGAAGCGAAAGTAGCAGTAGATCCCTCTTCGAAAACAATTCTCGTCGTAACGTAGTATGACCTTGATTTCGATTAATTTTATATTTTTCTTTGTATTAAGCTATATATGTGTGTGTTTGATTGTATCAATATTTAAGTGTACGTATATCCGCGTGTGTAAATTGTTATATATTATAATTTAAATATTTTAAAATAAATATAAAAGCTTTATATTTAATTTTAAAACTTTATTACGTATTTTCAGGTATCGACGAATTTTCAAAATCCAAAACAAGGTAAAAAAATTGTAATTTTATATAGGCTATATAAATTTATTCTAAGTTTTATTAATTGTTTATCTCAAACAAATTATTATTTTCTTATTATAAGAATAGTGTGAGTTAAGAGGTTGAAATATATTTTGTGTTCTGTGATATAAATAATAATAAAAGAATAGCCTTAACAAAAACAAGTGATATATATTCATTTTACTTTTTCTTCTGTCAAAAAATAAAGACAATTGGAACATAAAAGACTTTCTGATCAATTCCATGCAGTTATAGCTGCATTATATTTCTATTCGCAGTAATTCTATTGTTTCTTATTTATAGAAATCTATTATTATATAGAAATTATTTATTGTGTATTACCTTAAAGGGAATAAAGTCTGTATTTATTATTGTTATGTTTCAACAGAAGAATGGACAACGTCCAGGAAAGTTACAAACCATACTACTAGACAGGTGATTTTATTTCTGATATAACTGTTATTTTTTTAAGTTCATTTTTGATCCGAATCAAACAGTTTATAAAACATTGGATTAGTTTCTTTTTAAATTATGATAATATCCATAGGTTGAGACGAGAGTAAAGAGACAAATTATTTTGGAGGATGGAAAAGTAATATCAGATTCTGGACCTCAAGTCACCACAAAAACCACCGAAGATACCAAAATTGAAGATAATGAAATAAAAGAGGTGAATTTTTATATTTAAAAAATTCTTTTTTTATTATTTCTGAAATAAAGATATTTTTATTTCTGGTCTTAGTGTAAAACGGGAGATATTGTAACTGAGAAAACGGATACACGTTTAATAACTCATCAAGTTAAAGAAGAAAATTTAGAACTCGAAGACGAACCCTGGTTGCAATTAACAGCCGATGTAAGTGCAGTAAACGAATACCAACTTTTTCATCTATTAATTACTTATAAACATACGCTTAAAATTTTAATTTGTTCTGATAAAACGGTTTGTCACAGGCTTATCACAATATGTCGATTAGCAATTCGGATGTTCTTCATGGAAAACTTACTAATTACAGTAGTAAAAGTCGTAAAGTCATCGATCGTGACGTAGAACGTGCCGTAACAGAGTTAATTAATGGAGAACTTAGCACAGAAACGACGACCACGCATCACCACGAGGAAATAGAAGACGACGAGGTGCCCGAGGATGAAAGTAACAGATTAACTATTCCAGAAGTATCAATTAATAGTAACAGAACGTTCGAATGGAGCAATAACGATAATCCTCCCGATCTGATAGAAACCACAAAGACGAAAGCGGGCGGAAATATAATCAATATCCAAATGACATCAAACCGTAAGCCATCCCCTAAAACATCTAGCCAAGTGATTCATATTAGAGGAGAAGAAGGATGTAATAAAGCGTACGATAAAAAAATTCAAGTTAATTTATTACAGGAAACACACACCAAAGATAGTCAGACGCAAACACCTACGAAAATTAAGAAAGATTTTAATCTTCCCCGAATAAAAACTACTCTTAATGGTTATAAGAACATAACCAAACATAACGGCTATAAGAACTCTTCGGAATTGAATATGAAATATAGGCCTAATATACCTCAGCATACTCCATCTAGACCCATTCATCCTCATCGTACTAATATTTATAACAGTTCGTCATCGGCCACTCCACCAGATTCTCCACTCGCTATTGGTTATCGAGACTGTGTTACGGATTACCGAAAATGGCCTACCGAAAACAGGAAGTGGATAGCCAGTGACGGAACTGTAATTGTTGAAGTTAAACAACCTTATAAGAAATATTTTTGACGCCAGTAAGTAAATAATTAGAGTCAAGATATTCGAACACAAGACCTGTAAATATGAATTACTGCTAAGTTAAAATTGATGAGTTGTATGAATGTATGAATTTTTTTAGTTTATAAATAAATAAGTACGTCATGAACATTGTTAGAGTAAAAATTTTTTCTGACTGGGTAAACTACATTCTTTCCAATTCGAACAATTAACATTGAAATGAGAAAAAAATGAGCGTCCTTCTATATAAACCCGTTCTCTGGAGAGAAAACTGAACTATTTGGTTCATTGCCAGAAATATTTTAACAAAGGTGCGGGAATGTGATGTCTCTGAAGTGAGAAAAAATTAAACAAATAAATTTCCTTTCTTACTGTTGTTTAGAATATTATTTATCGAATAATTGTCTTGGAATAATCCGATTGTCAGGCTTTTTCTTCAGAAGTATTGAAAGTTAGTCGAAGTTCCAAATGACAGTTTTCATACTTCGCCCCATACTTATTTTCTTATTAAATTTGATTAAATTTTAAAATAGAATAAACAATTCCTTATCATAAATTTTCGATTAAAAGATGAGATCAATTTTGGTAGCGAAATTATAAACAGGAAATGTCCATTTAGGCTTGACTGACTGCGTGCTAAATATTCGTGTATGCGACTAGAAAATGAATAGACGTTTCATTGGAAATCATTATGTTAGCAGAATGATTGCTTAAAATCGCGGGTATTTCTCATAACTTATTTAGCCAACTGCAGATGACGTTAGCAAAACCAAGTTTGATTTATCATCCGGTATCAATTTCCATTAGAAAACTAATCTTTGCCATTGGTGTGCATGAATGATCCTTTCCTTTTATATCATTCTTTTGCATCACAAATTAAAAAAAAATTCAATAAAGAATCCCAGCGAACTGAAATGCCGAAACTGTATTCAATGTAATTAAAATAAATAAACAGATGAAAGATAAACCGAATATTTACTTGTATAAATCTTGATACTTTTAATTGCAATGACTTCTTGGGGCTTCCTGTAGGATGATTTAGTAAATAAATAAATAAATAAATTTAAATCCGATGCTCCTTACTTCTCATTCCAGACAGGAGCTTTACAGCATATCAGAAATTTTATTGCCGAATATTTTTATTTTAACAATACAATATATTCAAATTAATCTTATTCTTTCGTAGCTGCGAAGTTAAATTTAATATTTCTGCACGAAACAATTTAGCCAGAAGAACTAACTTATTGAATTAAATAATTAAATTACTGTTAACGTATATTTTCTTTAAATCAGTTATTCGTAATCAAAATTTAATGCAGTTAGTAAATAAAAATAAATTTTACTTATTAATCGCATAATTCATCGCATTTGTAATGATAATGTCGCATAAAACTCTAGTTAATTAAGCAGATCATCTCTGTTGATTATAGTGTATTAACCTACAAATATGTCCCCGAATTAAAATAAACTTGAAACTAATATAAACATTTATTGTAATACGACAGACTTATGTAAAAGTATCTTTATAAACTGTAATGTAAATTATTTCGTTCAGTTTGAATTTCATAATCCATATGAAATTCAAACTAATGAATACATTTGAACAGAAATAGCAAAGAATCGCTATTTAATATGTTAAAATTAAACGGATGAATAGAGAAAGCTGTGAATTTAAAAATTATTTAAAATTTTTACTAATTTTTAAGTAAATATTTCTTCATATTTATAATTTTCCCACTTTTTCGGAGAAAAATCTTGATAAAAATGAAGATTTCAAAATTGAAATTATAATGAAATTTATTCAATAATGTGCACGAGAATAATATTCGTATAAATTTTTGAGTATAAATATTTTATACGTAAAAATATATACCGGTTTGTATTTTCTTTATTTTCGAATTGAAAGCGTGAAATAATCAATAAAATGATGTTGCTACGAGCGTTAATGAAAACCGTTAGATTTTTACATAAACAGATTTTTTCATTTACTTATTATTCGTGTAAGATAAGTTTATATGCAAATAAAATAATTTATACGTATATAATTTTATTTTCGTATAAACTCATATATATAAATACAATGCAAACGAAATTTAGTAACCACGCACTTTCCTTCTAAGCATCAAGATTTTGGTGGCTCTAAGCAGTTATATAATATTTGATTTAAAAAAAAAAAAACAAAATTAAAAAAGATTCTACTTAATTTAATCTTTAAAATCAAAACATGTATTTTAAAACCTAATTTAAAATTAAAAAATTGGCTAATATCTTCATAATTGAATATTTTTAATTATCTTCAGTTTCTACTAAAAAAAGAAAAGAAACTAAGCTTTCAAAATGATTCAAAGAATTAAAAAAACGACAATTATATTTATTTCTTAATATATAAAAATGTAATTTTAAAAACATTCACTTATGCACTTGACATAAAAAATAAACAAAATATTTTGCAATTTTTAAATATTATTTAAATACAAATTTTGTGTCAAAGTAAACACTCCTTTCTATGCTATTTTCTAATTAAATAATTTCAAAATTCTTTTTGAAAATAAAAATTTTATATACTAGTGTCATTTATAACATATTTTTTTAAAAATATAAATTAGTCGAACAGGATTCAAACTCTAATTAATGTCCAGATAACTCTCGATCAGTTATATTCCTCTTCCTGTTTATATGTTTAAAATATCTCGTAAAAGTCATTTCTTTAAATAAAATTCTCACGTAACCTTTCTCACCTTTAACCCAATTAAATAGATTTTAAGTAGAAAAAACAAAAGTATTTACCTTTTTACCTTGGTGTTTTCTCGATAGAAATTTTTATTGATAATTTATAAAGGAAAATCGAGATAATTTATTGAAAAATCAAATGGATTTTTCATTTCTCTTCTTTTGACATGTTTTTCACATTTGAACTTTGTCCTATTTTCATTTATAATAATTTATACTCTTCAACTTTTTGTGTTCTTTACGTCACTAGTTAAACCGGAAATAATACGCCATCTGACGATACAAATATGTTGGTTTATAACGTGTTTTTATCGTCGGAGGATTAGTACATACGACCAAATTGTGTACGAGGGGTCGGGAGCGTGTTCGCACCTCCCGACCGTTTTAAGGTCAAGAAATGCCTTCTGTGATAGCAAAAAGTTTTCAGGTATGTTACCTTTTATATATATATAATAAAAATTTTATATATTTAACTTTTTCTTGAAATGTTCTCGAGATCTATTACATTATGTTAATATCGTTTTATTAAAACTGATCTTATTTTGTAATAAGTTACAAATGAATTTCGTCATTTTTTTCATTTACTAGTTTCGCAAGAAAATATGTAAATTTGTGATTAATGGATATAGTAATTAATTAGTAATACTATATTGAAAAGTATAGAAAATGATTTTTAAATAACCAATACGAAGAAATTCCAAGTGTTAAGCTTCCAATCAAATAGTAAAACGAAGAAAAGATTAGCAAAACTGTCAACGCGAAAGTGTCGTGGCCATTTAAAGTCTATTAAGAATAACAAAACTGATGTAATCGCTATTTACGCCGGTCACATGATTAAGGTGAGGCGTTAAATTACGTAACGTAGTAACAATATCCTGCATTTATTATTATTTGCAATCAATCTTCTATCGAATTTGAAATTTTAATCAGGATTATTTCAACTTTTGTTAAATAGGATACTTTGTTAGCAATATAGTAGATGTCCTTATGATAAACTTCGGTTTGCAATGACCTAATTGCGTACTCGAAACTACCACCCCCGAAATTGGGTCTTCACGTTTCTCTCTCACGTTTCGACACTTTCCCGGGATAATTCTAGGTTCAAAGGTTATGGGCGAGGTTTATTTGTCGGTGTACAAAATATGAATAATAATAAACTGGTCTGAATAATTTATAAACGAATTAAGTGGACGTTCTTCCTTAAACAGCATGTTATTTCTCAAGATTATTAACTCTAGATGTAGCATTAAACGCTGCAGGACAAAAAATAATAATTTAGCTTTATTAATAATATATATTAATATTATTATTTATTATTAACAATATACAGTATACTATATATTAATAATAATAACTTTTATTGCTATTAAAGTAATACAATTTGTATTTATTGCATATTTTATTACACGAGTTAAAAATTACAAGAATCTTATATGATTTAAAATATTTATTTATTATATTCCAATTATGATAATGCGCGATTCTAATATTAATAATAGTTTCACGATTAAAATATCGTTTGAAAAAATCTATGGACAAGTTTGGCTCGAATATATCATCATACCGACAAACTTATGTCGATTTTATAATTAAAATATTACGCCAATCATTTATTCATTTATATTCAGCTAAGATATTCTGACCTAAATTACGCAACAGATCTAGATCTAAAGCTGCCCCGTGCAGTTATGTTAGCATAATAACAATCGGTGCTTCTTGTGAGGGTGAGTCTAATTCTAATTCTTGTAAAGCAGAGGTTATTAAGTCTTAATAGTTCTATTTACGTATTGTTCTAAGAATTTTAAATACTGTATTTACGATGATTATTTAAATAATATTCTTTATTATAATTTAATTAGAACAATTCTATTTAATGATTATTTTTTCTTTCCGAGTTTTACTTCATTAAAACTATTATATAAAATCTTAAAACTGTTTTTATATGTAAATTTAGCGTAGAATATATAATATTTTATTTTTTTGTCGTTATAAAATTTCAATTTATCTTAATAAATTATTAACAAATGTAAATATTTTAAAATATCCATTTAATTTTTTACAAACTTTTGAAAGTAGCTTTTACCTTAGATTGTATCTATTTAACCTTAAAATTTCTCGGATATCTTGTAATTTTTTTTTTTTTTTTTTTTATAATTTCAACATGAAAACATGATGTCTAAACGTACAAAATTTGGTGATAATTTTAAAGCTATACTATAATAATTATCATCAAATTTCTGTTAAGTTTATCCGTCACATTTTTATGTTAAAACTATAATCAAAAAATAAAAAAAAATTGAGAATAACTACTATAAAGATATAAAAAAAAGAATAATATCGAGCTTTTATTATATATGTATTGTACAGTATATATATCAATACTTATTTACCTATTTATATAGCCTATTAAAAAAACTGGTCCANTGGTAATCGGCCAATCAATCAAATTTCGCAAAAAATGGACCAAATGTTTACACTGGACACCTCGGAAACCCTAAAAACATATTTTGTGCTCGCTGGTAACTTTGAATTAATCAATTTTCTTATTCGAATGTCACTATTCCACTGATCAGACAAAAGGGGGATCTTTGCGCTGATGGGTCGTTGAATTTAATTCGATATAAATGTTCAGTATTTCTATATATATATATATATATATATATATACTGTATTATAAATCTAAATACGTTCTGTGAATAATCAATAATAAGTAAACATAAAAGTAAACAAAATTATATCTTTTAATATGCTATTTATATTACGTACTTATTTGCAAAATTTTATTTCCAAAATATAAATAAATATACGAGATAAAATGGTACGCTTGTCACTTTGCTATAAAAGTGAAATATCCTTGTCTTATCACTTACATTAAATAGCAAATGACCCGCGGATATAACAAATTTAGAGAGCAGCGATTTGTGAGGCAAACGAAGATCAAAAGAGAACCTTGACCTCATCTTGTTCAATAACTCGCTTGAAAGTAGTTAGCCGTGATGTATTATCCATCGTGACATCACGTTCTCGTGAGGCGGATAATTTCGATCGATTGTTAAAAAGTAACGTGAACTAATGTTATAAAGTAATTGGACTATTTAATTATTTTAACATAACTCGATACGTTATTTTCGGAAATAATTTTCTCCTACTTAGTTTATTGATTTTTATCAATATAAACGTTAACATTTCAAAATTAACTCGAACTTTTTCAAGCATTCTTGCTCCGTTTTAGATGATTTAAATAAATAGTTTTTTAAACTGCGTAACTTCAACGGAGAGTTACATGACTTGATTTATTTATTTTATTATGAAATGTCACGTAAAAGTTTAAGCGGTTTTTTGAATTAATCAACTTGTCACCCTTAATTTTTCTTTTAGGTTTGCGAAAGTCTCGGTGTAGGTCACTCGGAAGGCGAAGGACGTACCTTAAGGCACCATCCACATTTTACTACACCTACAAGAATCGCAGGTTAATATTACATATAAACATTTCCGATTATCTAGGACAAGTATATAATTGCATTTATCATACATTTCGCATTTTTAATTTAATCGAATTGCACATTTTATTTAATTTATAAATTAGATCTTTATAAAAATGTATTTTTAAATCGCTAACCTCAAGAAATATTTCTAATAGTCAAGATTTATTTTATTTACAGAACGAAATGCTCCACTTTTTATGAAAGGAGTGAAACAAAGTAAAAATAATTACGAGAATTTACAACGTTTGGGAAATAAAAATATGAAATGCCACCGAATAAACGAACCACATTTAGACGTAGCCATCAATAACCGTTCTGATGATCAGGTTAAAAAATCGGAAATAAAAGCAACTGAAGAAACACACGAAAAAATTGTAAAATACGAAGGAAATAGAAGAATTAAAAGGAAAATAATTAAAACAACTGAATTTAGTCATATTAAAACAAAATGCACAAATGCCGAAAAATTGGATGGTTTCCTTAATGGCAACAGAAATGAAGAATTAAAGAAAAATGAGTTATGTGATTGGTTGAAATTAAATGGCTTCAAAACACAAAGAGGTAGGCCCTATATAAAATTATTTACGTAATGTAAGCCTGTATGCTATTATATTTCATTTTATTTTGATAGTTTATTAAGTCATACTCAATGTCGTGTTTATCAATATTTTACATTATTATTTATTTATTGTATGTAGTAAAATGCAAATATTTTATTTTTGATAATATTTTTATAGATAAAGCAACGGAATATGATTATAATCAATCTAAACTAAGTAAGAAATCGGATAAGAAATATTTGCACCATAAAAACAGAGTTAATGAACGAGAAAAATCGACTTTTTATAAAAAAGGTTAGTTACATTGTATTAATTATTTAAATTACATGCTTTTGTGTTTGTATGTTTATTATATGTAGCTTAAAGTTTAATTTCTCTCTTAGATTCTTCTAGAGAAGTATCGCAAGATGAAATGATAAGAACGTATTCTTCCGAAAGCACCGAATATGAAACCTCGCAAGATGAATTGATGAAAACAAACTCAACAGAAAGCATCGTAAATGATACTTCATCGAGTTACGAATATGACAGACTTAACAATTCTGATCATATTCAAAAAGTTAATGTATCATATTCTAAAACATCAATGAATTCTCCTCCAATTTCTATCAAGAAAGAACAATGGCCCGATATAAAATGCAAAATGAGAGTTCTATCGACGAAAGATAAACCATCTGTTATTCCTACCAATATTGTTTATCGTAAAAATTTAGAAAATGGAGACAACAGAGATTATTCATCATCGGAACTAGAATGGGAAACTACACACGATGAAAAACCAATTGCTACGTTTAAAATTAGGCAGAATAAAAAATATACATCGTTGGAAGAACAAGAGTATATAAATGGATCGAAATCGATAACCATTGATAAAAATTCTGCAAGAGAAAAGCCACCGTCTCCAACAGTTATGTTCAGAATTAAAACACCTACAAAATCCGATAAGTACCAGTATCATAACACAATTAATAACACAACATCAGACGAAACATCTACTTTATCTTCAGTTTCCGTTCATTCTATAGATCATTTTGTTGCAGAGAGTACAACAAATACTCTTACTGACTACATTCGAGAGGATCGTTTATCTTATCAAACGCCATCGAAACAAAGATACGAATACAAAGAGAATTTAATAGAAAAAGACTCCAGCTCCGAGAACTTTTCGACTCATTCTTCCAAAGAAGAAGAAATAAAATACCAAAATAAACCGATTGAAATTCTATTTAGAATTAAATCTTACGACGAAGAAAATACTACAAATAAAAAGAATACAGAAAAGATAATTGATAAAACATATTCGAAACAATTTTCTGACATCAAATCTCCTTCCACCGATAGCAATTGTTCAGTGGAAAGCGAACACACTCACTCGAATCGAACGTATAATCAATTTACTAGCGACAGTAAAGTTAATGATAAAAATTTTAGTTTTCCGAATAAAAAGGATAATTATTCTGCATTTAAAAAAGATAAAACGTTTGAAGCGTTTAGAGGAACATCGGAAATCGTACATCGTATTTCAAAACCGGTCAAGTCTTACGGAACAAATACACAGACTTTTGACGAGAAATCAAAATCTGATTCTTCAATAATGAAAATTTTCTCATACAATTCCCAGAAATTTGTACCAAAAGTCGAAAAACCGAAATATCAGGATTATTCTCAGAATATTTCTATCAGAAAATTTGAAAAAGAAAATAAAATGACAAGAAATGAAGACGTCGAAGAAATAAAACATGAAATTATTTCGAATAAGTATGAAAATTCATTATTCTCAAACAATAAAGTATCGGATAGAATTCCTGGTTCAGATCCCAGTAAAAAAGAATGGAATCAAAATAATTACGTAAGAACAATAAAAGATAATAATTTATCCGACTCACATAATAATTATCCAGAACAATCGCACTTTGTAGTTAGAAAACCCGCACGCATTTCTTCTGAATTTAAAAATAATGAGACTTTCGAGGAGAAGAAAGCATCAAATGATATAAATAAATACGTTGAGATAAAACATTACAGATCTGACTTTTTAAAAGAAAAATCAATTGGAAATGATAATCTTCGTCACAGTCCAAACATCGATACGATCCAATCCGATGTGAAATATGCTTCACAAAGTTTTCATGTAAAATGCAACACGCCGTATCAAAAAAGAAAAGAAAAGGAGGACGACATTCAAATACAAAAATGTGTAAACTTCGATGATCTGAAAACGGAAACTTTGATACTTAATAAATATTTCGATACAAAATCCGAAAAGACCAATTCAGAAAATCATCCTAAAGAAAAGCGATCATTCGATGATGTTTATGCATTTTCAAGGAATTATACCAATCTGAAAATATCTGAAAATCAATCGCATAGCAATAGTAATAAAATGTCTCAACTACTTCGTGTAGAAATCCCTCCGCATTGTAAACCATCGAATACAAAAAAAGAGCCGAATGTAAATTTACAGGAGGTAGACAAACGTCCCGACATCTGTAATAAGAAAATTTACGAAGAAATAAAATTGAATTCGTTGGAAACCAATACAGAGATTGATTATCGTAAGATTAATTTAAAATATTTTCCCAACGATCGGGATAAAACCAACGAGAAAACTTCATCTCTCTTTAACAATATAAAATGGCATTCAGTAAATAGAGAAAAAAACGAAGAATTTTCATCCGATTTCCACAATAAAAGTCTTTCTACCGAAATTTTAACGAAAAAATCTATTTTTACAGATGACGATATTGAAAAAATCGATAGATTGAAAGATTTCCGAAGAAATAAATTAAAATGCCAATCATTTAAAACTGAAAATCATATTAGAAATGTGGAAAATTCCAGAGATGAAAATGAATTTTATTCTCGTCTCGATGCTATAAAACAACTAGAAAGAATTTCTGAAGAAAATCGAAAATTTAAGGAGGACATCGAGAAAATCAATTCAAATCATAAGCATTTATCTGGAGTATCCATTCGTCCGGATATTTCAAGAATTATCCAGAATGAAAAATTCTATAATGAAGTTATAGAGAAGACAAGCAAAAATTATCCAGGGTTAAACAGACAATTATTCAATTCTAGAAGTCAAGACTTAAAAACAGAAAATAAAGGTAATAAACTTATAATTTATTGTATTTTTAATGTTATATCTTGCGAATTTTTATTTTATTTTATCGAATTTCTTTAGGTTCTAAGATTGACGATAAGACAGTTAAAGAAACGTATACCGTCCAAGTTCAGTTATCTCATAAAGGTGAACATTGTATAGGCTATAACTTATTTAATGTTAACGTAATTATTAAATTAAAATATATTAATATATTTTAAATAGGATTTCGAATAAAAAATTGGAAGGAAGAAGTAATTATTCATCGAATGTTATTTACCTCCTTCAAATACTGTGACAAACCTGCGTATGACGTCACAAAATCGAAAAACGTCATTAGCGAGAAACGTTTTTATATCGATGCGGCAAACAGGTGTAAGCTCACGACGCTCGTAGTGCCATCTGTTAATCGTATAAATAATTAAAATGGATTATTCTTATTTATTTTTAATTTTTTCTTTTTATTCTTTCGAAATTAGATAAATTTACTAAATCCGAAAATTCCAAAAGAGAAAATACAAGTATTTCGAATAATTCAGAAAATAATTATATTCGGGATATTTTTTCCATGCGAAATAACGGTTATTTGTTTAATATTAGAGCGGACAATACATCGAAAAGAGGTTCGTCTTATTTCATTTTATTTAATCTCATTATTTTAAATATAAATGTTTTGAAAACGGTTATATAGACTGAAGCGTCATCTATCGAATTTTTCAGAAATTTTTAAATTAATTAAATGCGTTAAAAAAAATATTAAGTAGTTTTATATCGGAAAATGTTTCATTTAAGGATTATGGAAAAGATTTAAAATAGTAAAAGTTAAAAAATATTTTTTCAACAAAACTGGGCTCAGCCGGGATTTGAACCCGGGACCTCTCGCACCCGAAGCGAGAATCATACCCCTAGACCACTGAGCCGCGTGGCTGAGGATACAGAATAACCCTTAAAAACTTGACGACGAGATACTAGAATCTTATTTTTCTTTATAAAGCGAAATAATTTAGATATGGTAGAGCAATTTTTTTTCATCTTAGCAATATTTGCTATTTCTAGAACTTTTAAATAAAAATAACACAAATAGATATTTAATTTTATTTCACTTTTAATATTTGGACCTTATTTTAGGAATAACGTTAGTCCTTGAAATTATATTACATATAATAGTATTTTTAACATGTAAAAGACATTTATTAAAGAAACTTGACATACATTTTTCGCTTTCGGACAAAAAATCAAATTTTCTTCTTCTTGACACTAATTAGAAATAAATAAAAATGAAATGTATATATTATAGAAATAAAAATAAAATTATTAAATATAATATAATTAAATAAATTTCGCAATTCCTAATACAATTACAGCAGAAAACTCGTTTCGCTTCTAAATAAGCATTTCCTTTCTTCGAAAAGTCACGTGGCCGAAACCGTATCAAATTCTGGCTGACGCCCTCTCTCGGCAAAATATTTCGAAACAAATACGTCACATTTAATTTTTTTAAATATAATTTTTTGGTATAACTTTCTTTTATTGATAAATAATTTAATTATATTTTCAGCTACTTCGTTATACGTCGTATGGATACCAGACTTTTATAAAACATCGACTTTTGATGAAAATTCGATCGTGGATCCACCCAAGGTGACTAATTTCTTATCGACATTACATAATTGTTTTAAAGATGTAGATACCGTTTGTGACAAAAGACCGGTTTGGCCACCTTTATTGCAAGAATATAAATATTCCGCTGTCTCTGCTCTGCTTAAGTCAGAATGGTCGACAGGTGGTTGTTCGATGTCACATGAAGAAAGCGTGCCAATTACTCGTGTCAAACCGCTGACATCTTTCAACCTTTCCTGTACTGAAAATTCTACAACTAACTCGCAAAAGCTATCGCCTACCGTCATCTCCAGCATCACCATTCCATTTACGGTTCGAAGTGCGCAGATAAAAGAACGTTCTTCCGGATTTCTTATGCCCAGAAATATGTTTCAAAATTCTCATCAGTTTCAGCAGAATTTACCAAACATTTGTCATCATAGACAGGTGAGTTTTAGTGAATCTTCTTTAATATCTCATAAAGAAAAGCCTACTGTACTTCGAGCTCTTTACGTCCGGACAGATAATTGTTCTCTTAACGATTGCATTGTTATCAGAAATGCTTTCAACGTTCCTCCTCAACGCACAGCTCAAATCAGTTTAACATCTCATCCAAACTTACGCTCAACAACAGATCAATTAAAGGTGTTCCAATCGGTTTGTCAGCAAGCAATTTCCATTAGTGAAAATATAACTGCTTGGTTTATATTGAAAAAGAACGTTATTCCCAATTATGAAATAGTTAGTTACTTTCACCAACTAGTTTTAACAAATATTAACTGTGAATATCCCTTATCTATTGTACTTCCTACTCTAAATAAGATCGTAGAGTTAAATGGACAGTACGTCAGTAATGCTTTAGAGTACTCCATCAACTCTATAAAACTTCAAACTTCAATTTATTTTCCTTATCTTATTATCTCCGAACAAGAATATTCACCAACAGAACAGAAAGAAGAATCTTATTTAATAGCAAAGATATCAAGAGTATTTTTATTCGGTCCAGAGAAGAATTTTAAGTCAGTTATAAGAACACAAAGGACTTGTCTTCGTAATGAAGAAAATTCTAAATTTAGATCTACAGAGATGAGAAATAATTTTGAGAACTTTTTGCCATTTAGTAAACCAAAAAATTTAGTAATCCAAAATTTACAAGATTATGAAGCAACATATCGGTGCCACTCAATTAGTAAAGAAGATCGCAGACAAGATTTGATTCCTTGTGAAAAGTTGGGATTAATATCAAGCGCGGATTCTCTGGTTGCTAAATATTCTTACAAAACACCGTCGAATCAAAATAATGCTATAAAAGTATCATGTAGACAACTGGATAAACCTTCTCAAGATTCAAATATTTATTCTCCAAAAGTTGCTAAATATACTGATTTATATTATAATAAGCATTTTTTAAATTATATATTTGTTGATGGAATAAAATCAAAAGAATTGTTAATACCGAGGTTATTATTAATCAAGCCAAAAATTAAATTCCATAAAAACATAAGATTCTGCAATCTTCTTTTCTATCCAACAATAGAGAATTCTTTAATATTATTTAATAAACCGCAAAATGAAAACTGCGTGTGTTCTTGCAAACACATTTTAGAATATCCTATTGTAATGAATATAAATTTTGTAGAATTTCCTCTTAATATCAATGTTTCGAGCAGAAGTGAAGAGTTAATTCCGAAATTAAATGCAAGATTGTATGATTTTCAAGAATATTCCAATCATTTAATAATTCAAGATAATTGTGAATCGGAAATGACAGTCACTTGTTTTAACAGAGTTAAACCATTTTTACAAATGCCGAAAGATACAGAAACTTATTTTAATGACTATATTACAAAAGAAAGAAGCATCGCTTATGAATCAATTAGTGTTTTCACGGCTTCGTCTGTTAATAAAATTAACATTAAGTGCAAAATAGAGAAAAGTGATCATTTACAAATTCAAAATATCAAATGTAGCTACCCGATGAAAGTGTTAACGGATCGTATTCTAGACGAAAAGAGGATGTTTAGTTTTGAACCGAATAATTGTAAAGAAAGTCATTCATTATTTTCAGCTAATGATCTTTTTAACACGAAATTTAACATCACCGAGAAGAAAGCAGAAAGAAAATTTGTTTCGTTAAACTTCAATGCCAACTTCGCACGTAAAAGTATAACGGACTATAAAAATTCCGTCAAAAGTCAGTTTCATTTACCAGTATCGCATCATTCTTCAATACAAACCGTAAAAACATTTCGTCCGCTAAAAATATTTTATTTTTCTTCAGGACCAGAGCAACTACTCAGTACTAGAATTTTCGAAACAAGCTTATTAAATTATATTAACAAGAGCTATTATTTCTGTGATCAGTGTGTAAACATGTTTTCTTCATTTTCTTCAAAAGAAATAATTTCAAATGTAAAGCTTGAATGTGATTTATTACAATATATTTACAAATACATTCCTTACGTAGACAATAGTTTAAGAAAATTTTTAAATCCTCCATTACGTGCTGAAAAACTTTCATCTCAAGTTGACTTATCGTATGAATTGAACGTGAGTAACAACATTTCATTCGGTAGTGTAAAATCCTTCCCTGGTCAACGTCTTCGAAAACGTTTTTTGAACATGACTTGTGAAGATACTCTACAGCAACATATTTTTACTAAATGTTTATTTGAAAATAATTCCTTAAGTGTATTTAAACTTCCTTTATGTAAAAAACAGTTCCCAAGATATGAAAGCATTCTTTCTGAGCACGTATTTAAAAAATCAATTTTACATGAAAACAATATTAAGATAATTTATATATTTCCATTTTCTACCAAGAAAATTGAAAAAATTTCTATAAAGAGGGAACATCAGCCGATTTGTAAATGCGTTACTTACTTACAAGATACTCTACCAACTTTCATTCTTGTTACCTCTCAAGCAGCTGAATGCCATTATGAATTTCATACCGAACAAGGTCTTTGCAACTTTTTTGTCGATGCTTCTTATGCATTAAAGAATTTTAAATCTATTCTTCCAAAAGAAACGAAACTCCTGCCGTATTTTGAAAAAAGCCATCAGATAATTTCTGTTATTATATTTTCAGTAAACGAATCCGTAAAAGTATTTAATATTCTTTTATCACCTTACAAATCTGTAAATTGTGCATTTGAAACTAACTTACTACAAGCGATTTGCTCGAAGGTAATGCATTTGGAAGAGGATGTTAAGATTTTTTCTGCTTCATCTCTTCAACAAGCAAAATTAGAAATTAAATACGAAGATATAGATATTCCGATAAAGCATATTAACATTCATTCTATTCCTGTTAATTATTCATTAATATATTTTATAACTTCAAGAAGAATACGTGGACGATCGCATTTAATATTTGAAACGAAATTTTTACAAGAAATCAAAAAGTGTCAATTGTTCTTTGAAAACTCTTTAAATATTTCTGAATCATCAGCACCTTTACTTGCTGAAAAAATTGATGTCTTTTCTGAAACTGATTTCCTTCAACCACTTTGTATCAATAATGTGTATCTATACGATAACATCAAAATCCTTTCTATTCCCGAAACGTCTCAAAAACAGGCTAATTACACACTTTTGTTAAATAAGTACGTTTGTAATGATTTCATACGTGTTTATGACTCAGTAAACACATTTGATGTTTCTTCTTCGATGTTTTTAAAAGCTGTCAGAAATAATGAATTGCGTGTTTTAGAAAATACTTTTAAAACTTTTTCATCTATTAATTATGCTCAACTGGTTTTTAACGTTAAGCCAGTACAAAAAATACAATTTGTAAAAAATAAGAAACAGAACGAGCCTCAAGATATCGAATTATATAATTGCGGAAATCTGTGTTTTAATCGCAACAGTATGAAAGAATTATTGTTAGAAGTCAAATTTCAATCATCTTTATTGAATTGTGCATGCTTAAATTGCATTTCCAATCATACTTCTTTGCAAGTTGTTTCTTCTTTCATGTCTTATCCACAGTTTACAGCTGAATGCAAATTCGACCATTTATCATATATCGATAATTATCGTGCAGTTATTAATTATCCTATAGACATATTTGTTGTTCCAAATTATTTAATAGAGCAAAGTAAATATACATTGATACCTGGATTAAAACAAGGATTATATGTGAGTGAGAAAAATGAATATATGTCTATAAAATTCAAATGTAATTTACATAACCTAATTACGTATCATGCTAAAAGGAATTGTGAAATTCGTCCTTTAAATATTGCTTTTAAAGATTTCAATATTATGAATCACTCAATAAACTCTTTTCTTTCGGATTTTCAAAAATACAAGCCATGTTATGTGTACGAAACATTATTATATAAACCAAGTATATCCAAATATTTTATACATCATCCTTTCAAATTCTTTACAGTCTCTTCTTTATCCTCTGAAAGTACTAAATATGTTTTATGTACTGATTCACCTAGGCATACCTGCATTTCTTCGAATTGTTTAGAGGATAACCTCAGTTTGTTTCAACTTTCCTTTTCCCTAAATAAGAAGTTTTTGAAAATTAGCATTCAGCCTCAATTTTGTTATTTCAATGAATGTGTTTCAATATATTATCCTTTCAAAATATTTTTGAAAACAACTCCAACTGAAATGAAAATATATCCAAAATTTGAAAGTTTTTTGTCGTATATCTGTAAAACTGTCTGTACTACGGATAATTCGTTAAAAGTATTCACTATATCGAGTGAGACAAATACATATAAAAATGCTCTAAATGAAACTATTTTCATTCGACAGTTGTGTATGATGAGTTCTTTACGTGAAGAAATTAATTGGTTTTCTATTCCTTATTATAAAAAAGAAGCTTTAAAATCGTTAAACGAAATTCGCCTTCTTCAGTACATCAACATAGAAGATGTTCGTGTTAATTATTCGATAAGTGAACATTATAATATTTCTTCTCAATTAAAATCGAAGTTACGACCAAAATTTGAAACAGATTTAACAAATCATCTTTCCAAATCAGATACTTTTGTTAATGATCCATTGACTGTTTTTTCTATTGTTATAAATGAAAATGAAAATTTTGTAAATTGTATCATCGAAAATGAATTGTGTAAGCAAATCCGTACGGATATAATAATTCCATTTTATACTTTAAATATTTTTTCTGTTCTTCCTAAACCAGAAAACCTATTACGAGTTAATCATGAAAATCGATTATTACAAAGTGTTTGTACTCGTTTTGAGGTGTTAAATTACCCACTTAAAAGTTTTATTCCTTTACCTTCATTAAAAGTGTTCTGCACACCAAAATTTGATATTCGCACATACATTTGTAAAGAAATTATCATCATGAACTCTCCGTTAAAAATATTTTCAGTTCTTCAAGTATCACATGAAAAGTGCTATTGCATTTTGCAAGAAACTGATTTACAAGTTGAAGTTAGTATTCAACAGTTATGTGATTTTGTGAATGATCTAAATGTGCAATCTTTTCTGATAATGCAATCGGAAAAACCAATATATCAATTACTAGAATATACTATTAAAACAGATATTACGAATGAGTATCCATTGAAGATATTTACAGTTTATTCTCCGGAAAGATTGATAACGAATCAATTATTGGAAACTTCTTTGTCTATCACGAAAAACTTAGTCGCCATTGAAGATTCTTTAAAGTTATTTACTAATTCATCTTGCTCAGAACAAATATTTTCTTACACTGCTTCTGAAATATACCAATTAAAGAACAACTTAGAAAACTGTATTATAACTATGGATTCTTCATTGGAAATAATTAAATTATCAAAGCAAGAAGAATATAAGTATTTAAATATAATTACAGATTTTGACGATAACCTTCAAGTTGTTTCTAAAACAATACATTTTGTAAATTATCCGATAAAGTCATTTTCTACCCTGGTGCTTCAAAATGAAAAATATATTAATTGCTCCATTAATCCTTTTCGAGAATTATTTACATATATTAAAAATTCGAATGATTCTATAAATATCTTTTTTCTTCGTTTACCTAAACAAGAAAATCTATTACAAACCAAATCTGAAATACGTCTTCTGCAAAACTGTTATGTGCAATTTGATTATATTAACCACACTCTCAAAATATTTAATCTTTCTTCACCAGTTAGTGCAACGGCAGAAATTAAATTTGAAACTGAATTATTGCAAAACATCTCTCAAACTTCTTGTTTCATTAATTATGCCCTTGAAAATTTATCTACTTTTAATTTAAAATCTTCAAGATACATAGACTTACACAGAGAAAATAAAATAAAACCAGAAATATGCTCATACGAATCTCGCAATTTAAAGCATAATTTTCAAGAAGACATACCTCAAGCAAAGTACGAATCTTATTTTCCACAACATGTTTGTGTATCAAAATGCACTTTATTCGAAGAATTTGTAGAAATGTTTCAATCTTCTCCAGAAATAAAGCATAAATTAGCATTAGAAATGCAAGAAGAACACATCGACAAAACATTCTTTTCTCTCCTGTATCCACTAAGTTTATTCCAAGTTTCTCCTGTTAAAATAGCGTTGGCAAAAATATGTATTAAGGAAGATTTGAATACATATTACGAAAGTTCGGTTTGTACGTTTGATAGTGTAAATTTATTTTCTGCTGATCAACAAAGACCAAAATTATTCAAACTTAAATGTGATATTTATCTTCGAGATCATATTTACGTACAGTGCAGTTTACTCAATTATCCATTTGCAACGTTTGCAAACTCCACGCCAAAAGAAGAGAAAATTCAGCCGAGTCTAAACCTCAGATTATTACATTATATTAATAAATCATTGCTTCCTGTTTCCGATTCTTTTTCAATATTTTCAACTTTACAAGAAAATTCTTTAAAATTGGGCCAAACTAATATATATCAAATGGCTTTTTCGAGCGAAATTCCTTCAAATTATATTTTGCAGACATTTTCTTCGTTCCCCGTAAAGAATAAATCACTAAAAAATTTTAAAGACAAGATTGAAAAATGTTTTTACAAGTTGACTGAAACGTTCGTTAATGTAGCCTTAAAATCAAACAGTCTAGTCAAGAAAATTCATAATTCTAAGCATGTTTTTATAAGTGTTTCGTTTGTTGAAGAATCGTTACAAGTGTTTTCACCCTTTCGATTGACAAATACATCAAAAAGAGACAGTTCAATTCAATCAATGTATATTGATAAAGCATCTTTGTGCAAGACCAAGAATGCATGTTTTGATTTTGTTTGTCGTGAAGAAAAATTCGTGAATGAAAGTCGTGAAATACGTCCTCTTCTTAATGTCATTTCAAAATGTGATATCATTAGTCATGGTTTAATAATGTTTGAAGTTCCTTATTTAGAAGATAAAATTGAATTCATTTCTGGAAGTGACTTATTTTACTTGTGTAATTCTATAAACCATCCAGTAAAATGTTTTTCGGTGTCGTGTTCTCCGTCTGAAATATGTTCAAAATATTTTTACAGCTTAAATCACGAGATTTTCATTGAAGCACAAAATCCGAATCATGTGATAAAATTATTTTCTGTTTCTTCTTTAGACGAATTAACATCGAAGCTTGATTATTCAGTGCAACATTTAAATTATATCTATACGGACTGTGTTGTAGTAAATCATCCACTAACAATGTGTTTTGTTCTACCATCTCCTACTGAAAAACATCATCTAACAATGGAAGTTACTATGTTTTATATTTATAAGTCATTTTTTCAATCATATCAATCTGTAAAGGTCTTTAGTGTTCCTTCCATTTCGTCCGAAAAATATGCATCGTACTGTTGTAGTCAAGAAAATTCCTATAATCGAGCAAAGTCATTTTCTGTTCCTATCTATTCCCAACGAAATTTAACACGGATAAAGAACGAGCTTCGTATAAATCGATCACATTTTTGCGCAAGTTGTACAATTATCGATCATCATTTCCTAAACTTATTCGTTCTTCCATCTAAAGAAATAAAGAGCTCTCATCAAGATAAAACTTCAATATTAAAATACACCTCAGAAGAGTCTTTACTTGAAAATAATATAATTAAAATAGCAAGAACTAGAGCGAAAGCTTTTGATAATAGAAATTTTTCTCAATCAATTATACTTACAGACAATTTTATTGAAAATAAAATATTTTCCATTCCGACAACCCGAAGAAAAGAATTTTTTGAAAATATTAATAAATATGTAAAAACAATTGGAATATATTCTATCTTTGATCTTCAACGTATTAACTCGTCACATGAAAGAATACTTGGAGTAAACAATCACGAAATACAATCGATGACTTATCCATGTCTTTTCTTATCAAGAGATGCAAATCAACAAGAAACTCTTTCAGAAATTTTCAAACGAAATACTGATGTATCCAACGTTCTCAATTTAACTTCTAACTTAATTGGAAAGATAAAACATCCTTCAGATTCAGAAGAAAATGATTTACTTCAATCATTAATTAGAAATTCTGCTATTTGTGGTAATATCTCGAAAACTACAAATTACTTGGTGCACTTGTCTGGATGTGAGTCGCTGAGAATGGAACCGAAGTTATTATTTAATTTAAATCAGTGGTCGCCATCTGTTTATGTTTCATCTGTTCTATCTCGAAGAGATGGATTATGTTTTGAATTGCTGGATAGCATAAATTTAAATTTTTCTGAATTATTTAAACATAGATTCGATATACAGAAAAATAATTCGGACTTTTTTAATTCTGTATCATTCGAGGTTCCGACTGATTCTAAGACAAAATATCCAAATTACAGTCGTAGCAAACAGATGAGCGAAAAACAATACGGAAATATTGATTCGGAACAATTGCTATCTACATTTGCGGAACGTCTTAAATTTAATTCTGCAGACGGTAATATTTATTCATATTCTCTTGATGTACTAAAAGACTTCATATTAACATTATATTTTACAAGTCCCGGAAGTTATGATCATGTCATACAAAAGTTTATTCAGAAAACAAATAGAGAAAAAATATCTGAAACTACCGTTTCTAAGAATTTAGATTCAATCTTTTACAATTTCTGTTCCATCAAAAACAAATGCAAATGTAAGGAATATAATGTTAGGGATAATTTGAAATCATGCGAGACCGATAACGATAATGCACTGTTATGTAATCACCAAACCAAACAGAGAACATTTACTAAATCTCGGAAGAATTGGATCAGAAGACAGAATTTTCCAATATTACATGAAATAAACATTATAAATGGAAATGGAAATTCGTCGGAACAAGAGGAAAAGTTTGACGTGAAAATTAAATATTTCGACGATTTTAACGAACGTAAAATTTCAAGATCAGAAAACGAACGTATTCATATTTTCGGACGTAACATAAAATCAGAAAATTGGAATGGTGATAACACGACTACTGAAAATGTAAATTCAAAAACTTCAGTCGAAAAAATAAAAAAAATTACAAATGAAATAAATATTAAACCATACAAAGTAAATAATACATTAACGAGATTTCACGGAATTGATTTTACTGACGAAGAAATTATCTTAAAGTTATACATGAGCGATTATTATGAAAGAATATACAAATTATACAAATATTATTCGAGGGAAGTGAAAAATAAAACTATAATTAAACATGATCCAACATTATTCAGTAAGCAGAACATTAAAAAAGTGCAGTATAACTTTGATAAGCTGTTATACGGTTTTCGCAATACATCCGAGATCCTTGACGAAATTACATCATACACATATTTAAACGATTGCAAGTTAAAAAGAGAAGGGATTATTTTCGAACGAGATGTAAATAAATTGAGAATCATGAATAAAGTCGATTCTATTATAGATGAAAGGATAAGACATTTGAAGGAGAATATCTTGAGATATTACTATCGCGAATGCTACAGAAAACTAGAGAGAAATTCAAAGAGAGTTTTAACAAACGAAAATAGTGACTGTAGCTCGAAAAAAACTAACGAAAGGACTCGCCATACAAATGCATATAATACTTTCCACCAACGATTTACAGAAGAGAAGAAAAAGTGGGAAGAATACAAATCGACAGAACTGAGAAGAAATAAAAATACACGTGATAAATACTTTTTAACACATTTTCAACGGTATGATTTATATTCCAATAAAATACCCGAGGACGTAATTTTAAAGCTCTACTTAAAAGATTACATTAAAATGTACGAAACGAATAATTTATCTTTTAAAAGAAAATTGTCAGGAAAGGAAATAAATGATTTTCAACCTTTAATACGATATAAACCTAAAATAGATAAACTTGAAACGAATAGCGATATATCGATGCAACGTAACGATATTAAATCATCTCGTGAACTACAAGATTTTATATTTTCCGAGCTTTCAATAAACCATTTACGTAATATCGAAGAAAAAAACAATGCATTTGACGCCATTTTAAAATTTTACATGATTGATTACTACGAAAGATTGAATAAAAGATTGAAATGGAAAAGAGACATCAATAAATCATCAAATTCTTTATTCAAATCTAACCCCAGTTACTATAAAAATAAGATTGAAAGTAAAGAAATGTGCGAGTTAAAAAAGATTAGATATCACAATAAAAACTATAACTTCTGTTACAATAAGAAACTTTCCGAATTCGTGGTACCTACTAATCTATGGAAGGACGATATCATTTTAAAATATTATTTCCTTTCTCCATTTCCATTTATTGATGGCACGAATAAGACGAGATTAAATAAGGCTATAAGAGAAGATAATAAAGTTTTAAAAATACAAACTGCAGCTTCCGACGATGATAAAAAATACGAAAATAATCCAATTAAAATGTCATTTATAGATGAAAATGTTTATAAAAACAAAACAATATACGAAAGGATTTTAGAAACTTTTAAAACAGTTTCGAAACACCGAACAACGAGAATGAAACCAAAAGAGTTTATGTTTAACGAAGAGTTTATTATTAAAACGGAAAGAGAAATAGAAGTGAAAAGAAGTAAAGTTTTTCAAAGAAGAGAAGTCAACACCGACGAAGATGTAGCAATTATAATCTCGTCGCAAAAAATTCAATATTTTCCTAAAGTGTTGGACAAATTAACAACAATTTCTGCAATTCCTAAAGGATTTGACGTGAGGAAACAAATGACAGTTCCAATGTTAACGCAAAACGGAAACGCTGTTGTTGATCTTAAAAGTAAATACAATATTTATAAATATCGATATTTATTATTTCTACATGCATTACTAAATCGATTTTTATTTTATTTTTCCAAAGATAAAAAGAAGAAAATGACGGATGTAAATAAAGACGTTTCCAAATCCCAATTTGAAATGAACTTCATGAATACAAAGTAAGTCAATTTTGATTTTATTATCATACATCTTTAATTTGTAATTTTTAAAAAAGTTTCTAAATATATCTATAATAATTTTAAACAGGTTCAATCAAACGGGAAGAAAAAAGGCGTTCTATACTTACGAAACATCAGTTTAAATGTTTATATTCAATTTCCTTGTGATAGTTGTATTTTTTTAAATTTTAAAACATTATTAATATATAATTGCAATTTGTTGAATTGTTCAGTAATTAAATATTTAAATATATTATTTTAAATGTGAAGAATAAGAGAAAAATTAAACAAATAAAAGATAGACGATTATGTAATACAGAAAATTTAGTTTAATACAGTATACTGTATCAATATTTAATAAAATTTGGAACGTGTTCTATGTATTAATTTTGACCTTTAACAGTTAAAATCAATGCAACGTTTATTCGTACACATAGAAGAATACATCAACCGTTGATGAATTTTTTAACATTAATAAATTTGAATAAAATGAAATTAAGAATCACTTTTATTTTTTCATATACTGTATTTAATATTAAGTGTTAATACAATGTTGTCATTGTTAAACATTTTTTTACCGTTATTTGACCATTATAAACGAGAGTGAACTTGAAATTTAGGAGATGCAAAAAAAGACAACTAATTGTCAACTAGTGTTCTGCATTTCTTGAGTTTTTGACAGAGTAGAGGATTGGTGAGGTTGGGTTGGGAGAGGATGATAAAAGCAATAGTCTTAGTAACTAAAATGTACATATATTGACCAGAAAATTTACAATATTGAAACCGCAAAATACAAAAATTTCTCTGTCTAAAGTTAACAAGGAGTGATCTTTATGGGGATGAACCCCGCAGCATTTTTCTACGTTGACGAAGAATATTCATGCTAAATTTGGTGTAAATGGTTGATGGTATGGAACCTTTACTTATATGGATAGGGAAAGAGCCATATAAAGCTTGTCATATAATATGACTGAAAACCGGATCTAGAAAATTTATATAACTTTATCGAACGTCTGTCTTTGAATTTCGTTCTGTCATGACGATTGCCTGGCTAATAGGAAATTGCAATATAAAAGGAAAAATCCTATCGCTTGGAGTTAATATCCGAGGCAGTGTAGGAATTTGTATTAAAATATATAATGAAAAATTTGCTGCAAGTTAATTTTTAAGTTTTATACACTCGAAAGTTTTGAATCAATGCATAAAATACAGTATAAAAGAAGTTGGCTGGGGCTCTTGCACGTCTTTCCTGACACTCAAACAAGAGGTTAAACGTTAAAGGGACCAGAAAAAAGTCCAATAATTTTCAGTTATACTACGATATAAAATTTAAATAATGATGATAAAAGGAATAGTTTTATTCAATTACGAGAAACGTTTCCATTCTTGAAAACAGAGAATTTTACAAAGTAAAATACAGTCTCCCCCTACAGAGATAGAGAGACAGAGAGTGAATTTTGTACCTTGTTTTTTTTCCCTTTTTTTAAATCAGATGATCTTAAAACGTCGATAAATGCAAAAAAAACAGTACTTTTCCTCCGTTACTTTAACATCGGTAAAATAAAAGTTGCTTTTTCATGAATGAATATCATTAATTCTCAATTGTATCGCTTGACGTTCCATCATCGTCAGAAAGCGGATATTTCGTTATCACCCGTGGAGATTAAGACAACTGAAATAATCTGTATTTCCTCTATTTCATAATCTACAAATGAATAATGCATGGGATACAGTATGTTGGTTGTTCGCAATGAATAATAGTACAGAAATATGGATACCCAATACAAATGTTGTGACATACATAACTTTCGAAGTAATAGTAGCAATTATTGCTACAATTGGAAATCTAGTAGTTTTGGTGGCATTTTGCGTGGAGAAGAAATTACGTAAATTAACAAATTATTACATACTCAGCTTAACTATTGCCGATTTATTAGTTGGCTTAGTTGGAATACCTTCTGCAATTTTAGTAAAGATTGGGTTGCCGATGAATGCATTTACATCCTGTCTGATGATGTTATCGTTGTTGATGGTGTTGTGTACAGTTTCTATCTTCAATTTGGTTGCTGTTTCTCTGGACAGATACTGGGCAATTCTTCATCCTTTTAAATATTATACGAAAATGTCGAGTAGAGCCGCTACCGTTATCATCATGATCTGTTGGCTACTAGGATCAATTATAGGCTTTTTACCTCTTTTCGGATGGAATAATGGATCTAAAGAAGATGGGAGATGCGTTTTTATACCCACTATCGATTATAACTTTCTTGTCCTCATTTATTTTGGTACAATTATTTATCCTGGCTCATTGATGGCTTACTTTTATATTAAAATATATTTGGTGATAATAAGTCAGGTAAGTTTAATTTAGAATCAATGACTTATTATTAACGAAGTTAATTACTAATAAAAATAAAATGGATACGTTAATTAGATTATTATATAAGTATATTAAGATAAATCTATAATAAATTTCTAATAAGTTAAAATATCGTAAAAATTATGCTTTACAAATATGGCATAATCCAAGAAATTTATTATAGATTTATAATAAAATAACGTGAAAAATATGTACCGTACACAGGCAATATTAAAAATAACTTTCAGCAGATCACACTAATATCTACTCCAAACCATGCAATATTAAAAATTCTGCACATTCAATTATTTAATATTTATCTGGATACATTTCTAATTACAGTAACAGTTTTTCGATTTATATACGCATATAGTAATACCCCGAACTTACGCGATAGGTGGGACCGAGCGATAACCGCGTAAGTCGGGGTATAATTTCGCAATTTGTATAAAATCCAAGTCGAATGCATGTACGCTAATAAATGTTCTCGTTAATCTTATCTCTTCTTTTGATTCGTTCACGGTTACAAGAAATCACCACATAGAGTCTCTCAAGTTTCCGTAGATATAGCAAACACAGAAATCAATAACACAAAATAAATTGTAGCTATGTGTCGATTCCACGCAACACGTCAAAACATGTAAGCTGAACAATAGTGTGGGGGGAGTGAGTAATCAAGGGTTGCGTGCCGCTCAAACAAAAGACGAATCGACGAGATTTGAAAATCGCGTAACTCCGGATTCGCTTAAGTCGGGGTAGCGTAAGTCGAGGTATTACTGTATTTCTAAAAAGCTAACGGATTGTCGAGTTTTTTCGCTAACTTTTTACTCTAGAAGCACAACCCTATGTTAAAAAAAAATTGATTGGAATCTTTATGACCGTAACGATTTATTTATCGGTTCCCGTTTATTAAACTTTGTTATCTACGATATATTCAAACAAAGAAAAATCTACATATTTTTTAAGTCCAAATAAAATATTTTTATCTAAATGTATTTACTTTTTATTGAGATTTTATACATTTAGCAAATACAATTAACTAATTAAAATTCATAACTTGTTTTGCAAACGCTTCTTTAATTATAATTACCAAATTGTTGTTTTTCGTGACATTTCAAACGTGCTCAAAATGAACAGGAAATGAAAATTACAGGAAACAAAGTATCTTAAATTAAACAGAAATAAATCAACTAAATATTTTGAAAGTTTATTTTAAATACGCATAATATTACATTTAAAGTTTGGTTTTCTATCGCCTTTCCTCTCTGTTGCACTAAGAGGAACATTTTTTCTTATCCATGGTGGGTAGGACAGACATGGGGAAAGGACGGGATCCAACTAACCGGGAGCAGTGATAAATGGTGTATCGCTTATATTTAAAAAATTGCATTGAATCCTAACCACCTGATCTTCATGATTTGTTTCAAATAAACAATAAGTATTTTTATTAAGGTGTGTTGTGTTTGAATATACTTTGGATTTTTCTTTCATTAATTAAAATTAAAATATTAATTCGAAATTTCAATTTTATTTGAATTTTATAAGTTTATAAATCATTTAATCACAATGAATATTGCTTTTCAATTATTATTTGTTGATTTTAAGTATCGGAAAGCCGTGAAATTTCTAATGACAAAGCAATTTTGTACGAATGTTGATGTAACGAAATTAACAGATAAATGATTTATACTAATTTCTATAAAATATTTCGTCAGAAATATTTATAAGCTAATCGTAGCTGTCCTTGACCAAAATTTTATGCAGAAAGGGCATAAAATTGAAGATTGTACTAAGTAGGTTTCTGTTCTTTTACTAATTAAATGTATTAACATAGGAGTTTATACATTATCATCATGCTTAAAGGTACATAAAAAAGATATTTCCATATTCATGATAAGTTGTTTCAGCCCATGATATCGCAAAATTTTCTGGCTGTAAACATCGTAAACACAGCTAAGTTATACCGTCATAATTCACCTCCACTAATTTATACGATATATGAATGTAATTCAAAATAAATGTTTCTTACAGTGTTGAAAACTTTCTGCCAGTTCTCATAGAGATTACCGAAAATGAGGAATTTTACGGCATAGCGGACATTTAAATAGCGGAATTTTCGTAAAGGTATTATACAATATGTGCAAATTCATATACGTAATTAATTACGTATATGAATTTGTACGTATTGTCGATAAATTTTAATTAAAAAAAATATTGGTTATCCGTGGCTACATTTGCGTTAGTATCGTTTGCGTAGTGGTGTTTTGCAATGACATCTTGGAAAAATGATTATATTCTTTGTTAACAAGTGGGATTGATGCTATTCACAAGTTTTGCCAGCGAATAACGATCCTAGTGTTACGCTATAGAGATAAAAGTTACATGTAGGCTATTTCTATTTTTTGGAGTTTTATGGAATGCCAGTTATCGCGAGTTGAGTTTTTAAGACTCTGTTGTATTAGGTGAAATCCCTTTCCTCGGTTGTTTTATTAATTAAACTTAATATTACACTTTGCTTCCAACACAATTTCTTTTCCCAGTCAACGAACTTAAACACTGAACACTTTTACGACAGATTGCTTCTTCACATTAATCAAATCCCAATGAAATCAAAATCTCAATTTTGTCAACTTCAATTTGTCAACAATCAATCTCTCCTATTTCTTTTGTTTCTTTATTTTCTCACTATCCCTAGTTAAAGTTATTAACTAGCACCTGACATTAAAAAGTCAATTAATAATTTTCTCTTTATTTTTATCATTTCTAAATTGTTAGACTACTTTAAAATTGAATATTCTGAAAATTCTCATTTTGTTCTGGAAGATTACTTGAGAAAAGCAATTGAAAAAGCAATAAAAATGCTTTCGTTTTATTGATTTTTTTAAAATATTGACTGATTTTAAAATACAGTACTTTAAATATTTCATTTGTAATGTAGTTTTTAAATTAATTTATTGATTCGATTTTAGATATTTAAACATTTTTATTATTTTCAATGTTAACTGTTGGAATTCAAACGATTGACATAACTTTCCATGTTTCTTTAGATAAGTACAGTATAAATTTATGATACACATTTATGTATACCGAGTATTTTTGCTCATTTTTTCAATATCAGAGTAAACGTTAATCAAATTCGTTGACTCCCTTTTCATCATCAAATTTAGATCTTTGCCTTTTTAATTTAATATAATGGGCCATCGTTATACTATTGATATTGGGCCTGGTAGCAAAGTCAGTGACGTCACAGGACATCTGAACATTTAACCTCTATGACGATCATGAAAAAATTAATAATTTGTTTCAAAAATAAACTTTTTTTTTAATAAAATGACCTGAAATTTTTATCATCATAAGTCCAAAAATTTCCCCTTCATTAAAAATAATGATTATTAAGAAAATAAATATTAATCAAATAAAGAAAAATATCAGTTATATTTGTATAAGACAGCATTTTTTGTTCATTGTTTGTACACAAATGTAAATAAATGATTTATAGTATATGTGATTGCAATTCATTATTACTTTAAAATCTAATTAATAAAATTCCGTTTCAGTATCACAAATCACGTTATAAACAGTTGAGGTGGAGTTCTTTCAGATACAAAAGTAAATGAATGTGTGATATCGCTTAAATAGGGCCAATTTAAATTAAGTTTATAGTCGAGAAGTTCCTAGAAACGTGGCCTGTTTCGCAATATCTGAAGGGGGATGCACAGTTAATTATTTCATATAATTATAATAGAACAACTTTCTTAAAAATAGACTTATTACACGAAATAACTAACAACTTTCTTTTATTAATACTTAACAACTCTAATATGAATATTATTATATTATGAATATTATTATATATGTATATTTATTAGTGAGTTTGAATATACTTTGGATTTTTCTTTCATTAATTAAAATTAAAATATTAATTCGAAATTTCAATTTTATTTGAATTTTATAAGTTTATAAATCATTTAATCACAATGAATATTGCTTTTCAATTATTATTTGTTGATTTTAAGTATCGGAAAGCCGTGAAATTTCTAATGACAAAGCAATTTTGTACGAATGTTGATGTAACGAAATTAACAGATAAATGATTTATACTAATTTCTATAAAATATTTCGTCAGAAATATTTATAAGCTAATCGTAGCTGTCCTTGACCAAAATTTTATGCAGAAAGGGCATAAAATTGAAGATTGTACTAAGTAGGTTTCTGTTCTTTTACTAATTAAATGTATTAACATAGGAGTTTATACATTATCATCATGCTTAAAGGTACATAAAAAAGATATTTCCATATTCATGATAAGTTGTTTCAGCCCATGATATCGCAAAATTTTCTGGCTGTAAACATCGTAAACACAGCTAAGTTATACCGTCATAATTCACCTCCACTAATTTATACGATATATGAATGTAATTCAAAATAAATGTTTCTTACAGTGTTGAAAACTTTCTGCCAGTTCTCATAGAGATTACCGAAAATGAGGAATTTTACGGCATAGCGGACATTTAAATAGCGGAATTTNATAAGAAACACAACAACTGTGATAAAAATATATAAATAAAATTTGAAATTAACAGAATATGTAAAAGTTCACGTCACACCTTTCACCATGTGACGGCACATCAGTGTGCCGCGGCACACCGGTTGCGGAACACTGCTCTAGTCCACGTATGCCTATGCAACATCATAATACGCGCTCACGATACTTTCGATTCGTCACTTTTCCGTCGTAGATTTTACAATTACGTGACTCAGCCTGGTGATAACGGAGAAAAGAGACAAATAGGACGTCGGTATAAGTCACAGTTATGAGTTCACATATTCGAGACAGCTTGGTAGCTCGAATGGCCCCAGGCTTTCGCCCGTGCACGCTAAGTGACTTTCATTACAAGCATTTAGCTTTCCGAAGTCTATGACAACAATTGTTTGGCATTGACGGCCGCGAATTTTGCGCCAATAAGCTGCCTCGACTTGTTTATGTTATCAACTCAATTTCATATTTATTTTCACATTTTCACTTCGCGGTCCTTCTCTGTTCTTTTTCCGTTATTTACACGTGTAGGTCATTTCATTGTTATCCACATTTGATATCATCACTTATCACATACTGCCATGACGCTCTTGTCTGTCCGCTACAACTGTCAATAATTAACGCGATTGGCAAAGCGTAGTGACAGCGGGCCAATAGAGAGCAGGGTCCTTGCCATAATGCGGTTTGCGCATCAATTTTCGTACGTGTGTTAATCAAGCCGAATAGTATGGCCGAATATTAGGTTATTCGGCCACGCTCTTGGCCGAATATACTATTCGTTGCAACACTAATATTTATTGTCATTTACAATTTAAATTAACAAGTTTATTCTAAAAATGTGCATGCAATTTTACATTTCTTGTTCTTTCATTAATATTTAATGAATGCAATTTTTTTAAATTATTTATAAAATATTTCAGATAAGAAAATCACGGAACAGCACCGTTTTATCCGAAGATAAGAAACGTCCAGCTATCAGCCAACAGAATAGTACAGATTCTTTTTCAACTGCAAAAAATAAAATTCGTAAATCCACGTTATTTTTCCTAAATTACAGAGAAATATCGAAAACCAAAGGCTTATCTATAATCGTATTAGTATTCATGTTATGTTGGTTACCGTTGTATACGGCAAATTGTATTCTAGCATTTTGTAAAACATGTAAAATACCTCTTCCTCTAATGGAATTTTTTATTGTATTATCGCATGCCAATTCTGCAATTAATCCGTTTCTCTACGCTTATCAAATGAAAGATTTTCAAAGAGTAATTTGTAACGTTATCAGATGTAAAACATTCGAGGAAAGAAAAATCTTTCCTTCTACAATTACTACGGAAACAACGTCTTTCCGTTAATTCCGAAAATCGTTTTTTTATTTTAAATTATGTTTATCGATCTTTTTGTAAAAATTAAGTAAGTTTATTCCACAATATATTCTAATGTATTAAATTTATTTTTAAATGTAAATCACATTATTACGAATTTAATGGAATAATTCGGGAGAGGGACTGTCAATTAATTAATTAAAGCCAAAGTCCGCTTTATAATAAAGTAGATTTTCGAATGCACGTTGTTAAAAATTGATTTCTACGACCATTTTTGGTAACTGTGTATGTTTTATATGCTTCTATAAAATATATTTCGTGTCGAGTCAATATATTTACATTTTTTAAAGTTGATTCTCTCTACTCTTATATGTAAACTTGGGTGAATACTGTCTTGTGAGTGTGTTTCCTATTATAAAGTTACTCTAGAATAAAATGACCATAACATTTAAAATCCAGCCCGGAACACATTTCAGAATAAGTGCAAATAAGTAAAAGAAAATTTATATTTTTATTAGAGTTGGTAATTATTTATTTTCATTAATAGATACACAATTCGCGATTAGCTTTTTTCTTTCGGCAATTATTAGAATCCATTTTAGATAAATCGAACGTGACATGAATACACACCTACATTCACTAGCAGGGTAGTTTTAGCACCTGTGCCAAAACCATCTTGATAATAGAAATTTCTCATAAAAATTAGCTTTTTACCTCGGGCAATGCGTCAAAAACATTATCATCGTTGGTGTCATCACTAAAGTCAAATCAAATAATGCGAAATTCAGTAAAAATGAAACTTGTAGTCAATTGGAGTCAAAAAATGATAGTAGAAAGAGCCCCGCACAAATCTTATGGGATGAGTCCCGGTAGTGTTGGTTCTTTCGTACAAAATATCTCCCGGTGGTGCATCCATCGGAGATACCGATATATAAAGAAGATAAAGAATTTTATCTATGTACTGTACAGTACATGTAATGTGCATAGATAAAATTACACAAAGAACCACGAATAAAATAGATAAATCCAATGAAATTCAAGATATAAAAATGTACCGTACTTGAATGGTTAACCCGATTATAAAGTCATCCGATGTAACGACAACTCTAATATAACGTCAAATTCTTATGGATTCCACGATTTTACTATACCAGATAATGTTAAAAAACCTACTGTAACGACACCCTGTTTTAATGTCATATTTGAAGTACTCCCAAATTTACAAAATTAGATTACGAATTTTATTTAACATAGAAGAAACTATGTGTTCAGTCCTAAGGTCAGAGTTCACTTCTTAGAATGACTGTGGGTGGTACTTTCCCCCATCTGACTTCGGTGGGGTGAGGTGGCTGTTTTGCCTGTTTGTAGAAGAGGGTCGCCATTTCGGATTTTATTTTGACTCGGTTCTCGGTCCCTGACTATCTACAAGTCTGGATTTTTTTATGCGCAAATGATTTGGGCACCTAATACTCTGTGCCAAATATCAACTCTCGACATGTACTCCTTCATACCTCTATGCTGGTAACATAAAACGACAGTACGATTTTATAAACAAGACAGTCTTGTCAAAAAGAAATAAATAATAAAATATATTAAACAAACTAAAACAATAACCATATAAATAATATAAAAATAAAACAAAATACATTAAAATGCATCCAAGCATAAGGGCAGGTGCGGAGTAAGAGTTTTTATAATTTTCTCTCTCTCTTAAGTAGAATATCCACGTGGAGTGAGTCCTATGCTTGTGCCATACTTGACAAAATACACAAACAATACAGCACAGACCCTCAAAGAAACTGATGAAAATTGCAGTTCAGAATGGTGGAGGGCAGACGGAGAAAAGGAAGACTTAGGCTAATATCGCAAGATATCATCAAAAAATAGACTGGCTTAAGCGTGGAAAAAGCCTACAACCGTAAGAGTAGAGAACTGTTCAACTACAACCCTCTGTGAAGAGAACACCATGTGAATGAATGATGAACGCAATGAACTTTAAAACTATTATTTGCCAAAATATTTTAGAATTATTGCATGTCACCAGTCTCCTATTTAAGTTCCAAAAATAAGACATGTCAAAAGAAAAAATAGTTTATATTCTTTTAATTACTTTTATACGAAACAACATTCATCCGTATTTAATTTTTTTCACTTTCTTAAACAATTTCCATAATTTTTCTCTCTTGGTTATACCACTCGCTATCATATCCTTTGTAGAGAGGTTAATCAGATATGGCGCTATCACGATCTAGTGGAGAATAAACGAGGGAAATTTTTTAAGAATTTTCCCACGCGTTTTTCTCATTTATTCGGAAAATTTTTTTTAAACAGTTATGTCTAGTAAAGGAAAGTTTTTCTTTATTGTCACAATTCCTTTTGTGTGTGAATTTTTTCCGGATATAGACGTCTTTCTCCAGTGCCACGTGATCGACCTTGACTGATATATACGTCCATCACTGCAGAGTGTATATCATGTATTTGTTGTATGCCTTTTGCAAGTTACAGGTTTATCATAAATTAATCTAGAAATTGCCACCTTAGCTATAAGATCAACCAAATCATTGAATGTGAAGTTTCCTCCGTATTCATCTAATAATAAAACATTATCCAACAGCAAATACCATTTTTAACAAACTTTTTCGTTATCTGATTCAAGAACAGAGCCTAGATTCAACATCTATCGAAGCCGTATCTATACTCTTGCATTCTATCGAGTGTTTGTAATTAACAATTTGAAGCAGCCTGGAATTTCAACAATAGTCTAATCCCTTCTCGAACGTTAATCTCCTTTTCGCCACTTTATCAGACAAGTTCAATTGTTCCGTTGTAAGTAAAAATCCAGGTATCTCAATATGCATAATTGTTGCATGGAATGTAAGTGGAATCCTTAATTTTCAAGGAAGCCGATCGCATTTCCATCTCTAGTTTAAAAATTCAATAGTAAATCTCTTTTCTAAGGTGTCATTCAGCTCCCACTTGTCATCCCAGCACTTTCGTGTTGCGAACTTATCTGAAGACTAGAACTGCTGTTTACAAGTACATACATTATCACACCATGGTCTCCTACTTTGATGAATCCTCTTGTAATTGGGCGGTCGTAAATTGAATTTTCATGTTTATTTGCTGCATTACCTCTGTTCGTCTTTCATATACAGAAATAACTATTTACAATTGATATACAAACCTCGAGTTTCAAACAAAATCTTGAACTCATTTTTGCCCCGGTTGCCGAACAAGCTACTTGGCAGAGCTGGCCACCCGATGGTCAACTTCCTAGGTTACAGTAGACGGCCCGATCAATCAACGATAGGACTACTGATTCCGAAGTTAATGGGGCCGAGATCGCCTGGCGCCACGATACGAACCATCACGATGTAATTCAAATTAGAATTCAAAGCGCACGCAGAAAGGTTTATTTCTCCGTTTCTCGTACGAACTACAGTTGAATTTAATCAATCAAAAAATTCGCATTGACATTCACATAATGGCATTCAAGAATTCGTGTTTAAATATGTTTAAGTTAAATTAATGACAAAAATTATTAATACTAGGTAACCAGTTAATTATAACTATACCGAAATTAATCAGAATTAAAACGAGAGTGAAACCAATTGAAATATTCTGGAAAGTGGAGTTGTCCGTCCGTGTTGTTTGATTTGGTTATTTTATCCAGGTAGAACTGTCTAGTTGTTGCGCGTTATAAAGTGTTAGTTTCGGTTCCGATCAACGGAACATTTTGCTTTTAATTAATATATGTATATATTTTACATTATGGGAAAATTCGTTTCATTTTTGAACGAATTAAGTTCGAAATCCGAAGTATAATTGTATATAGAAACATAAATTGAAGTGAAGTGTCCATGTTATTTTAAAACAATGGGGAAAATGAAAAATACGTTAAGTGCAAACATTTTTAAAAAAATATTCCTTTAAAAATATTTTTAAATAGCGACAATAGCTAAAATTATAAATAATCGATTTATCATCTCTATGTAAATTAATATCGAAAGACATTTTCTGAAACAATCCTCACACAAAATAAAAATTCCGACATATGCACTGAGATCTTAGGCTATCGAACATCTCAAAAACTATCCTATACTAAAAGATATAATTTCTGGAAAAAATATACTGTATTTACTACAAACAGTACAACAAAAACTTATGAAAAATTATCAAAAACATTTTCATCAGATTATTATTATTATTAAAATAGAATAGCATTTTCCTTGTTTCTTGGTCTTTTGAGACAATACACACAATGCACCCAGCGGTGCTGTTATACTGTATATAAAATACTATCAAAACACTTAAAAAATCATTTATCTAATAAGTTTTCAAACTATAGGCTAAAAAGGCAACTTTATATTTTTATTAAAATTTAGATATCTAAGTTGTATTGTGTTTACATTTTTAAAGCTGTAAAATTTTTTATTCAAGTTTAGTATTAACAATTTGCTTGGGAGTTAATAAGAACAGACAGCTATTCAAATTTTAAAGATTTCTGTTCATTTCAAATATTCTTCAATTACATTTATTTCTTTAGTTAATTTTTATATTTAAAAAATTTGTATGAAATGTCGAAAATTATATTGTTTTGAACTTTAATTAAAAAAAATATTTCGAATTGCTGGATGCAATTTCATTGTAAAAATCGTTTTACAAAATTTATTACATACAAAACTGCATTTGTACACAAATAACAGATGTATTTACTCTAAAATTTAAACAAAACCGCATGCACGAAATATCAATTTATGCTCTTGTAAACTCCAATTTCTGGTTAGTTTAATGTATTTTAACTGTACATATAGAAATAACTAGTCCTCTGATTGCTTATTGTAAGCAACACAAAAATGCTTAACGTGAATTAAAAAAGAATTTATATTTTCTTTAAAATACCACATTAAGACTATAATACAGACTACAGTGTTTAATCATGTCAATAGTCCAGGACAAAAATAAAAGACAATAATTTCTTATATAAATGAATACGTGACAAGTGGAGGCAAATTTCTTCTGATGTTAACTAATGATGAATTAATACACTGAATTACAAAAATGACTTTACACATCAACATATATGCCAGTTTCAAAATTTAATATGGACGAGGTCGTCGTTCTCCACTGTAATATAACATATATTTAATAAGTACCTTACTTTATAAAAGACAAGTAAAATCATAATTTCAATATCTTACCCTGGACCACCTCCACCACCACCTCGCATTGGGCCACCTCCACGACCTCCTCCTCTACCAAATCCTCTTCCACCCATCTGACCACCACGACCTCTTCCACCTCTGCCTCCACGACCACCTTCACCTCTCATCCCTCCTCTATGTCCTCCTCTTGAACCACGTTCCCCAGATTCCATTCCACCAGCGTTTCCATCACGTGGTGCTTGACAACGATTACAAGACATTCTCCAGGAAAAGTTAGTGTTACCACAATTACTGAAATAAATAGAATTAAACATATAAACATTATTATTATAATGCAAAATCTAAATAGACTAATTAAGTTTTAATGAAGTTATTTTTACAAGTTAAAAACTTTTGCTTGGAGTTTTCAGTATTATTTGGCAAAATAATTTACAGATTATTATATGAAAATAACAGTAACTTTAACTCCTACTAAATAAATTAAATTTATGAATTTATTATCAATAGCAACAATAAACCTAAATGTTTAATAAATAGCAATAATGAATAAAATTAACTTATCCAGTAATAAATTGTTTTTATGCAGTGATTTATTATTGAAATCATAAATGGTGAACAGTTAGGTTAACCCACTCTTACCTTCACTGAATGTGGAGAACTACTGAATGCTACTTGCTGCATCAAGATAACCTGGTTTGCCCATATTTTTTTCAAGTAGTGAAACTCAATGCAGTTTAATAAAATTTTGCTGTGTATATTCAGAAACATCAGCCTAAAATGTTATTCATTATAGTAAAACACAAGTACAATATTTTAAACATTTCTCTCTTAATTGTTAATGGTCGCTTAAGTGTCTGTCAGGGATGGCAAACCTTTTTGAATACACATGCCATATTGTAAGATAACTTAGCTTTAAAGATGTTTGTGTGCACCAAAGTTTTTAAACTTCAAATAACAATATTTAAATAAATTACAGGAATATGCTTTATTACAGTGGTTCTTAACCTTTTTATACTCATGGCCTACCAAATATTTCATAATTTTTTTGTGACCTGCATTTTTTTAATATTAATTTATATTTGTTAAATTATCTATAATAAATTGATTTTTTATTATTGCTTTATTTTTTTTATATAACAAATGTAAAACAACTTTATTATTTCATTACTTATTTAAATAACATTCAAACTTCACAATTAAACATAAAAACTCATTAATTTTTAACAAAAACTAAAAATTAGAAACATTTAAAAATTCATAGGAAAAACAAAAAATATTCGAAAATAATTTAATGAGATTTCTGCTGCTGAATATCCTCAACTAATTTGTTAATTCTTGGTTCAATTGTTTGTAATGCTATCCACATGCAGGCATCTAATCACAATTGATTGTGCTTTTATATCCACCATAGTTGAAAACCCTTTATCACACAAATATGCATAAATTATACATAATTTGGCAGCATCTGGCAAACTTTTTATGGACCCCCTGTTAAGAAACTCTGCTTTATTAGAATAAATATAAAGAAGCTGAGTGAAAAAAATGATAATCAAATGATAAACTAAAAGGATGATTGAAAAAGACAATTAAAAAATCTAAATAATATGATATGTTACATGCCAGATGATTCCTCCAATGTGCCACTTTGAGAATGCATGCCATAAATTTGCAATTCCCTGGGACTTTGGATAGAGCAATCTATACAGAATTTTTTATATGGTGCCTGGTGACATGCACACCAGATAAACAAGACCATAATGGACTTAAATTTTCTAATCAGAGTACTTTATGACAAACATTTTCAAAAATGAACAGCACATGACTTGAAAATTGTTACTTTGTTGTGAATATCAAATAAAGATTTGATTCCAAACTTTAACATTCCACAGTACAAGATATCTGTCTTTAGATTTAATGATTCAATTAAAGAAATGAAATCTATATACGAGGTCTGTTCAAAAAGTACCTTTGGTCGGCAAAAATACATTTATTGATTTTGAGGTACAAAACCCTAATCCCCTTCAAAGTAGTCTCCTTGGTAGAGTATACACTTCTTCCAGCGTTCCTGCCTTGCTGGAAACACTGCTGGAACGCATCTTTTGGAATGGCCATCAGCCGGTCCGTCGCATTCCGCACGATGTCTTCTCTCGACTAAAATCAGGTTCCTTTTAGCGGCATTTTCAGCTTGGGAAATAGCCAAAAGTCACACGGAGTCATATGGGGAGAGTACGGAGCGTGACGAACCATAGGAGTGCTGTGTTTGGCGATGAAAGCCCGAATCAGATGCGCAGAATGGGCGGATGCGTTATCATGATGGAGCTGCCAAGTTTTGATCGACCACAGATCCGGTCGTTTGCGTCGCACAGCATCAGAAAGACGACGAAGGACCTCCTGGTAGTACTCCTTTGCGATGGTTTGGCCTCGTGGTGTGTACTCACGATACACCACCCCACAAGAGTCGAAAAACTGTCAACATGACCTTAATATTGCTGCGGACCTGCCACGCTTTTTTTGGCCTCGAGGATCATCCCCGAAAGTATGCTGAATCTTGCGAATGGTTTATGCGCGGGTATCGCCAAGGTTTTTGGCAAAATTTGATGTAATATCGCTGCTCACGTTGTTCAGTCATTTTCCAACTTAGTGGAATCCGACGAGAGCTCGCTACATGTCCTCACTCATAGGCCGATTGCCAATGACTAACGCCTCCTGCAGGCGGGAAAGAATTCAGGGTTGTGCATGACTGTCCCCTCCACAACTCCACCGAAAGAGGCCTCCCACGCATCATTGGTTTACGCGGAAAAAATAAAAGTCCGATACTTTTTGAACAGACCTCGTATGTATAGGATAGTTTAGATATATCTTGTCCAGATCAAAAATGTTGGCTTCTGATATTGTACAAACAGTTAGCAAGGGTTACTAATTTTTATTCGCATGTTATTTGCACCACCCAACATATGGAACAACTAAGAACTTTGGAGGTACTGGAAATCTTTAAAGCCGATCGTAAATCCGCATGCATTAATTTCAAAGAAGAAATAAATCTCTCTGCAGCATGGCAATTTTTAATTGACGATAAATCATAATATATTGTATAAAATAAATTTTATGACGTAATGCACACAACAATTCCCCATTGGTAGAAAATTACATTTGAAATAACACGTGGATTCCTTCCGTTTTCGGAAATTTTTTCGAAAAATGGCACGTTACATTTTTTCAAAAACATTCGAATTAAAGAATCCGGTTATAACGAAAGCTATAAAGAAGTAAGCCTGAAGAAGATCCCAGGAGGGGAATCGAAAACGTTCGCCGATTTTAAAGAATTTCGCACCGGTTAATGGTTAAGGGTAGGCAGTTGTTGGTTGTGAAGTTATACAACCCGGTGTGGTAAGAAAGCATATTAATTAAGTTTGTAAAGTACTATATTATTTTTCCGACTTTCCAACGATTATCGACACTACTGTGTGCCGGAAATAGCCGTTCCCTAACGGGTACTTTACGCGGATTCGCGTTAGTGTGCCAGGCCTGGACTTTAAGCGTGCACCGAATTAAATAATGACAAAGTTTGTCAATAACAAAATCAAATATTTAATTAAACTTCTA